TGCTTGATCTCAGCCACCAGAATGGGTTCTACAACACAGAACGCCGCAACCGCTTTCTTGGGATGCTCAATCAGCGCTTCACTGAAATGCGTGACTTTGCCAGATTTCATGGCAACCCAGATGTGGCTACGGTGTATGACTCCTATCTGAACTCATGGAGGAGGTTCATGCATTGAGTTGTTTGGTGATCCAAAGCTGCACCAAACAAAGGAGGAGTGCAAAAGATTTCTAACAGTGGATACCTCCTGCATACATGTGTTCAGATTCACTTTCAGTTGTGAGAGACAGTCAGAAACGCAAGGATGACAGACGCACAAATCGAGAAGTGTCACATACCACTTTTGCAGTTGAGTCCATAAGACATGGAATCATTTCACATTACTTTGAGGCCTTAGGCTCAGGAGAAAATAGGAGTGGCCGCTGCTTCGCAGTTTTCCATTGAATGCGTTTTCCTTTTCAATAAGCTCTGCCTTCGAAAAGTCAGCGTTTTTACAGTTTTGACTCCGGTTCCGTGCTTTCCATTGCTCGTTGCATGATTTAAGAAAAGATAAAACAGGTGACACCCTTACCCCTACGCAGGTGCCCGCACATGCCCTGAAATTTGTATTCCGGCATCGCTAAAGTTAAGAACATGTTTCCTTATATGATCTTATATCGGTTTATATCAGAAAATAGCGACTACTTTTCTTTTTTTTCAAGCTTTGCAATGGACGTAGATGATTTATTCATGATTTCAGCAAAACATTTTTTTGGAGGCTGGTATATCAAAAACAGATTCCGTACCAAGCAAAAGTGTATAAACAATAAACTAAAAAAAACATATACCCGCACAAATATGTTTTGTCAACTTTGATGCCACACTGGCCGCCCCCAGGTAGTCAGGGGGGCTGATGGTTTCTGCTGACCGACCAACAGTCAGAGATTAAGAGGGGTGCCTCCAATTTGAAATGAAAAAAAATCAAAACCATTACCAAAGGGGGTGCTTTTGCGATAGAGAGTGGACACCTCATGTTATTGTTTTTTGCACTTCATCAACAAAATTTTGAATCCGAGAATAGGGAACCCTCGAACCGTACCTCACCCGTAATCTGAAATCGCCTCGCTGGACTTAGTATCGTCACCATGGTTGATTCAATACTAAAATTGTTATCCATGACCTTTGTGATTTGGGGGTAGCCCCATTTCAGGAAACTGCCATATATGTTAAATTTCCATGGTGCAACCGGAGATGACGAACGCTGAGAATGGACGCGCTTCAGTGTCGGAACCCAGGAACTTAAATTACGAAGGTCCCTCAGGGTAGAGAGGGTTCATATCAAACTCATGTTGACAGTCAGGACTTGAATGAAGTTGGATAGAAATTACCGAGCTGCCGCGATTTTCCCGAAGAAACGATTTCCTGACCCTTTCGGATCAAGACTGGAAGACATTGGAGGTGCTTTGGAAGGTAACAATCAATATATATATATATAAATAACCCAAGTTTTCCTTTGCTCTGTAATTCATTGAAAAATAAACTGGGCTGTAAAGTCATTGACGAAAAGAACCACTTCCCTGTCATATTTGCAACGCAGACACATATAGACGACGACCTTTTGGGAACCCAGTCCCCATCATTTTTGGCGTTGCTTTTGGGTAGCAGTGCCCCGGCCATGGCACCTGCGACAGGTTCTGCAACACAACTTGGTTTGAGCCTCGTTACCGATGTGCCAGCACAGCAACTTCAAATATTTTGTCAAAAACTGAAATTACTTTACTTCGAGTGATCCCCATCCTGACACACTATTCTGACATAGTTTCTGACATATCATCTGGAAACATATAGGAAACATATAGGAAACATATATGGCACATACATATACTATACTATATGCAATGCTATGCAATGCTATGCGATGCCATGCCATGCCATACCATACAAAACCATACCATACCATACCATACCATACCATTACATACGTACGTACGTACGTACGTACGTACGTACGTACGTAGATACATACATACACATACATACATTCATACCATGCCATGCCATGCCATGCCATACATAGATACATAGATACATAGATACATAGATACATAGATACATAGATACATAGATGCATAGATACACAGATACATACATACATACATACATAGATACATAGATACATACATACATACATACATACATACATACATACATACATACATACATACATACATACATACATACATACATAGATACATAGATACATAGATACATAGATACATAGATAGATAGATAGATAGATAGATAAATAGATAGATAGATAGATAGATAGATACATACATAGATTAGATAGATAGATAGATAGATAGATAGATAGATAGATATCTAGATAGATATCTAGATAGATAGGTAGATAGGTAGATAGGTAGATACATAGATACATAGATACATAGATACATAGATACATAGATACATAGATACATAGATACCGAGATACCTAGATACCTAGATACATAGATAGATAGATAGATAGATAGATAGATAGATAGATAGATAGATAGATACATACATACATCCTGACATTCTATTTAATATTCTTTTTTGGCATATACTCTGACATCTATCTGACATTTTATATTCTGACATTCTATACTCTTCGACATATATTCTTACATTCTGTCTGGGATTCTATCCGGTATTCTCTCTGACATATACTATGACTTTCTATCTGGCATTCTTTCTGGCATTCTTTCTGACATATATTCTGACATTCTGTCTGGCACGCGTTCGGGTCCAAGTGTGGCCCACAGCATCTGGAGCTGGCGGTGGGGTGCCCACTGCATCCGGAGCTGGCAGAGGAGGAGGTGAGGAGGAGAAGAAGAAGAAGGAGGAGGAAGGAGTTACATCTTCGTTAAAATCTAGAGATCCTCACCTGGCAGGCGGGGAAAACCATACAATTGGCAGGTTGCATTCACATTTGCGTTTGTGTGTTCTCGATTCACATGAAAAGAGTCGAAAGGACCGAAAGGGTTTTTACGACGGATTCCAGTATGAGCTAATATGAACGGGGCCGGCAGAGAACAGACAGAGCTGCCTTGAGACAATTACATCATGTTGACCCAGGATGAATCAACCCCCAGTGTATTCATAGGGGGTTTGCGAAATCTAAATGTAATTGATTTCACTATTTTAGGCTTGTTAGGGGGTATTACCCCCCACGTAGCAGTGTTTTCGTCTCCTCATGGGCTGACATTATCCGGTGTTGAGCATTCCTTGGCAGCCGAGAAAGTGCTGGGTGATATTGGGTGATATTCTCAATGGTGTTAAAGAAACCCGTCCCTCATGTATCCTTCACCTTCTAATTTCAGTCATGGGTGCGGATAATCACCCCCGAGTGTCAGAGTTGAGGATATTTGAGGGTGTTGCATATGAGGTGTCCGCACCATCACAGCTGCAGGGAGGACCGACAGGTTCACTTTGATTTTCTGAGGCCCTTGTCGCTGTTTTACGGACTTTCACAATTTGCATTTCTCCCAATCATTCGTGGCTCCTGGCCGTTCACATGGACACGGGCTTCAACTGTAGGCGGTTGTTGTGTGTTACCCAAGTAACCAAGGTTCCTTGAGCTAACGCAGAAGAGCTCCCAATGTTGTTGGCATCGCAGGACCAAGTTTATTCACGGCGATGATCGAGACAGTGCAATTCATGCTACTTTTGCCAATGCACTCAATGTAGCAGTGCTAGGAGAACTTCTAGCTGCACGATTGGCTGTAACATCGTAGTGCATCGGTCCCCGACACTCATTTCATTGATTGATGAGGTCCCAAAGATTCACGTTGGGTTCCTGCCAGACCAGGATAGCAGCATCAAAGCAAGACTTCAGTGTCACGAAATGAACATTCATACAGCTGCTTCTCTTCACAGAGGACTGGGTGGACAGAGATCAGGTTTAAGCTGAGTCTTTCTCTCATAGAATTGTAATTTCACCACGCCTAGACAGACCTGACAGGTCTTCAATTTGCTGTCTGAAAAGAACGCTGCCCCTCCATGCACATTGTGAGAATTCTAGTGAGACGGAAATCTTGGCCCGGCTGGAAGTAGCAGGTCTCAGTGCCTTTAGCCTCCAAGGTGAAAGGGAGAAACGTGTTGTTGAAGCTTTCGTAAGTGGATTCTGCCAGCATGGACAGTTTCCACTTCTGTCAATCCAGGTAGGCTGTCTTCCAGTTCACAACAGTTGAACATGCTCTCCAAAAGGTGCCAAAGCATTCTGAATCACTCAAACGTTTTCGACCACACCTTACTATCAACCAACTGCATATCTGCATATCATTGGTAGGCGGTCAGCCCAACTTGATTGGTTGAGGTTCAAACGACTGATGTTGGCTTCCTGTTTGAAAGTCATGGCAGCATCAGAGCAAGACTTCCCTGCCACCAAATAAACGTTCATACATCTGCTTCTCTTCACACAGGACTGGGTGGATGGAGATCAGGTTTTAGCTGACTCTTGCGCTTATAGAATTGTAATTTGAGTAGGCCTAGACAGACCTGACAGGTCTTCAATTTGCACAGTGTGAGAATTTTAGTGAGACGGAAATCTTGGCGCAGCTGGAAGTAACAGGCCTCAGTGCCTTTAGCCTCCAAGGTGAAAGGGAGAACTGTGCGGTTGAAGCTTTCGCAAGTGAATTCTGCCAGCATGGACAGTTTCCGCTGCTGTACTATCGATCCAGGTAGGCGTGTTCCAGTTCACAACAGTTGAACACGCTCTCCAAAGGAATCAAAGCATTCTGAATCACTCGAACTTTTCGACCATCCTTTACTATCAACCAATTGCATATCATTGGTTATGATTGGTAGGCTGTCTGTCCAATTTGATTGGTTGAGGTTCAAACGACTGATGTTGGCTTCCTTCCAGAAAGTCATGGTAGCATCAGAGCAAGACTTCCGTGCCACCAAATGAGCAGCTTCAAAAACCTCCACGACAGGATTTACGCAAATTGTTAACTCTCCTTGTTTCGCAAAAGCCAAAATGCAGGCCGGGAAAGGGGACCTGCTGATCGCTCTAACCACTGAGCTATGCACCCAGATGCTACTGGCTACTGCTTCTTTCCATCACAGGTCCACAGCCATCAACCAGGCATTCATTAGCTTCCTGTGGCTTCGGCGCGAAAGTCGCCGCGAAAGAGATTTCAGAGTTGTCAGGTAAGTGAATAGGGTTTTTGAAACTGCTCAAATGAACATTCATACAGCTGCTTCTCTTCACACAGGACTGGGTGGACGGAGATCAGGTTTTAGCTGACTCTGGCGCTTATAGAATTGTAATTTGAGTAGGCCTAGACAGACCTGACAGGTCTTCAATTTGCACATTGTGAGAATTTAGTGAGACGGAAATTTTGGCGCAGCTGGAAGTAACAGGAGGCTCAGTGCCTTCAGCCTCCAAGGTGAAAGGGAGAACTGTGCGGTTGAAGCTTTCGCAAGTGAATTCTGCCAGCATGGACAGTTTCCCTTGCTGTACTATCGATCCAGGTAGGCGTGTTCCAGTTCACAACAGTTGAACACGCTCTCCAAAGGAATCAAAGCATTCTGAATCACTCGAACTTTTCGACCACCCTTTACTATCAACAAACTTCATATCGTTGGTAGGCGGTCCGCCCAACTTGATTGGTTGAGGTTCAAACGATTAATGTTGGTCGTCCGTATCGATAAAAAACTCGGACGAGAAACGACAAGCCAAGCTTCGGCCTTGGCGCAGAAAGGCAGAAAGTTGAGCGGTGCACAGCATAAAAGCATCAAACATCAACAGCGTTTGAACTCAGATTGGTTCAAAAATGTCTGACTGTTGCGAAATATTCGAAGTCCCAGAGACATGGCACTGGAGACAGAGCAAGCAGCTGAAAAACAGGTTGGAAGTCAAAGCCCAGCCTCAGAGCGTTGAACCACATTTCAACCTACATCTACGAAGACTCCCCTGATTTTGCCTCACAAGTTCATACTCAAATGAAAAATGTGCCAGCAATTTAGCCTTTGCAGGTGGCAAAGTTTGAGTGGTAACTTACCAGTGGTAACGGCAAAGTTTGCAATAGTCTCTGCGTCAATTCTTGCACAGGTGCCAGTTATGAGACTCTAAGATGAAGCACAGTGCCTCTTTTATGGTCGTCCGTATCGATAAAAAACTCGGACGAGAAACGACACAAGCCAAGCTTCGGCCTTGGCGCAGAAAGGCAGAAAGTTGAGCGGTGCACATTTAGTGAGACGGAAATTTTGGCGGAGCTGGAAGTAACAGGAGGCTCAGTGCCTTTAGCCTCCAAGGTGAAAGGGAGAACTGTGCGGTTGAAGCTTTCGCAAGTGAATTCTGCCAGCATGGACAGTTTCCCTTGCTGTACTATCGATCCAGGTAGGCGTGTTCCAGTTCACAACAGTTGAACACGCTCTCCAAAGGAATCAAAGCATTCTGAATCACTCGAACTTTTCGACCACCCTTTACTATCAACAAACTGCATATCGTTGGTAGGCGGTCCGCCCAACTTGATTGGTTGAGGTTCAAACGATTAATGTTGGTCGTCCGTATCGATAAAAAACTCGGACGAGAAACGACACAAGCCAAGCTTCGGCCTTGGCGCAGAAAGGCAGAAAGTTGAGCGGTGCACAGCATAAAAGCATCAAACATCAACAGCGTTTGAACTCAGATTGGTTCAAAAATGTCGGACTGTTGCGAAATATTCGAAGTCCCAGAGACGTGGCACTGGAGACAGAGCAAGCAGCTGAAAAACAGGTTGGAAGTCAAAGCCCAGCCTCAGAGCGTTGAACCACATTTCAACCTACATCTACGAAGACTCCCCTGATTTTGCCTCACAAGTTCATACTCAAATGAAAAATGTGCCAGCAATTTAGCCTTTGCAGGTGGCAAAGTTTGAGTGGTAACTTACCAGTGGTAACGGCAAAGTTTGCAATAGTTTCTGCGTCAATTCTTGCACAGGTGCCAGTTATGAGACTCTAAGATGAAGCACAGTGCCTCTTTTATGGTCGTCCGTATCGATAAAAACTCGGACGAGAACGGACACAAGCCAAGCTTCGGCCTTGGCGCAGAAAGGCGGAAAGTTGAGCGGCGCACGGCATAAAATCATCAAAAGTCAACGTTTGAATCACATTTGAGCGACAGTGAACGGTGACAGTGACTTGCAGAAATTTCTGCGGATGCAAAGCCCATGGAGCTTCAGTAGTCATCGACCTATACTGAGCTTGATTCAAAGTTGTCGGAGTGTTGCGAAACATTCGAAGTCCCAGAGGGGCACTGGAGATCCGAAAGAGCAAGCCGCTGAAGACCAGGTTTGAAGTCCGGTAAAGCCCAACCTGAGAAATATAGTTGCCACAGCTACTCACTCTTGCTTCAGCAAGGCAGCTCTGAGTCCGACACATCCCTCTGATGAAGCACCAGAATCTTCAGCTCCTGTTCGCACCTAGCACATGGATCTTGAATGTCGGAGTGAAAGCCGGATTTCATCAATGCACTGGGACCCGTTTCAGGCGTAAAGTTCACCAAATGTTCACCAATTTCTCCGCCAAAAAACAAAGGCTTCAAGCCATTTCAAGTCAAGCACCACCTCATCAGGACAGGGCCAGTGACGCACAGGTTGATGCCTCAAATTCACAGTCTTCACATATCTCGAGATCGATCCACAGGCAGTACATCTCTAGGGATTTTTCAAATACCCCCTCGCAGTACACCCTACAATCTCCCAAATTGGTGCCATTTAGCATTATTTCTCACCAAGTCGCTCGACCATGCTCGAATTCGATCGAACTAATGGGTATGATGACTGTATTTTGGGAGCCAAATTGCTGGGCCATATCATGCCGGCCCCGCTTTCCTGCTTCTCTCACGTGAGCCACCGTTCTGTGCCAGCGGCTGCTACCAGGTTATAGCTCAACAAGTGCACAAGTAAATTTGGAAGTGGCGGAATACGCCCTGAGCCCGACATATCCATTGATGTGTTGGATTCATCGCCAAATAAAGAGAAAAGAAGGTGTAATCTCAGGGCGTATCTCAGAAACTCCCAGATTAATTTGAGACACATCTTGAATTTTGATATTTGATGAACCAACAACATAAGGTTTGCAGCAAGTATCAGCGTATAATAGATTCAACACTTGATTGCCGGAAAAGCATGTCAGATTCCAGTGCTGATTGCGCAGACAAAGAGCAAAGACTTCGAAGACCGGCAATCAACAAGTATGCCCTGACAACAAACCTAGGGACTAGCCTGACTCACAGCTACTCCCAGCTGTAGAGGTACCTTATTCGGTATCATAGTGCTTCAAGCAACGGGGACATTACTGAATTTTTTTATTGTCCTCGTCAGCACTGGCTTTTGGAAGTCTGCTCATGCGGCTCATGCGTAGGCCAGCTTGTGGTGGCGAAAAGTAATGTGTCACTGCTCCATCCCCATAAAGCATTGAAACATGCGGCACAGGACAAGCCGTAGCTTACCTGCCGAAGCCCAAACCTTGAGCGACAGTGAACGGTGACAGTGACTTGCAGAAATTTCTGCGGATGCAAAGCCCATGGAGCTTCAGTAGTCATCGACCTATACTGAGCTTGATTCAAAGTTGTCGGAGTGTTGCGAAACATTCGAAGTCCCAGAGGGGCACTGGAGATCCAAAAGAGCAAGCAGCTGAAGACCAGGTTTGAAGTCCGGTAAAGCCCAACCTGAGAAATATAGTTGCCACAGCTACTCACTCTTGCTTCAGCAAGGCAGCTCTGAGTCCGACACATCCCTCTGATGAAGCACCAGAATCTTCAGCTCCTGTTCGCACCTAGCACATGGATCTTGAATGTCGGAGTGAAAGCCGGATTTCATCAATGCAATGGGACCCGTTTCAGGCGTAAAGTTCACCAAATGTTCACCAATTTCTCCGCCAAAAAACAAAGGCTTCAAGCCATTTCAAGTCAAGCACCACCTCATCAGGACAGGGCCAGTGACGCACAGGTTGATGCCTCAAATTCACAGTCTTCACATATCTCGAGATCGATCCACAGGCAGTACATCTCTAGGGATTTTTCAAATACCCCCTCGCAGTACACCCTACAATCTCCCAAATTGGTGCCATTTAGCATTATTTCTCACCAAGTCGCTCGACCATGCTCGAATTCGATCGAACTAATGGGTATGATGACTGTATTTTGGGAGCCAAATTGCTGGGCCATATCATGCCGGCCCCGCTTTCCTGCTTCTCTCACGTGAGCCACCGTTCTGTGCCAGCGGCTGCTACCAGGTTATAGCTCAACAAGTGCACAAGTAAATTTGGAAGTGGCGGAATACGCCCTGAGCCCGACATATCCATTGATGTGTTGGATTTATCGCCAAATAAAGAGAAAAGAAGGTGTAATCTCAGGGCGTATCTCAGAAACTCCCAGAACATCACAGTTCAAAGTTAAAAACTTCTCGCTGCTTATCTGTAGAAGCTCAAACCTTGAGCGGTGACAGTGACTGGCAGAAATTTCTGCGGACGCAAAGCCCGTAGAGCTTCAGTAGTCATCGACCTATACTCAGCTTGGCACGGCACTGGAGGTAGAGCAAGCGGCTGAAGAACAGGTTTGAAGGCCGGCAAAGCCCGAGCTCAGAAATATAGTTGCTAGTTCGACGATGGAGCACAGACATGGCCAAACGACGCACAGGTTGATGCCTCAAATTCACAGTCCCCACATATCTCTACAGGCAGTACATCAAACTAGCAGCTTGATGAAGCATGGAAGCATGGGATGAGGCACGGGACAAGAGATAGGAACTTTTCAAGTGTATGGCCTATTTTGTTGCTCAGGAGTCTGATGTGAGCACCGGATGGGTACATTTTGGGTTTGAGCGGCGCGTCTCAGTTGTGATTTCAGCATCACAATGGGATGAAACTTGATTGGTGATGCAAATCAACAGCTTAATTTGAGACACATCTTGAATTTTGATGTTTGATGAACCAACAACATAAGGTTTGCAGCAAGTATCAGCGTATAATAGATTCAACACTTGATTGCCGGAAAAGCATGTCAGATTCCAGTGCTGATTGCGCAGACAAAGAGCAAAGACTTCGAAGACCGGCAATCGACAAGTATGCCCTGACAACAAACCTAGGGACTAGCCTGACTCACAGCTACTCCCAGCTGTAGAGGTACCTTATTCGGTATCATAGTGCTTCAAGCAACGGGGACATTACTGAATTTTTTTATTGTCCTCGTCAGCACTGGCTTTTGGAAGTCTGCTCATGCGGCTCATGCGTAGGCCAGCTTGTGGTGGCGAAAAGTAATGTGTCACTGCTCCATCCCCATAAAGCATTGAAACATGCGGCACAGGACAAGCCATAGCTTACCTGCCGAAGCCCAAACCTTGAGCGACAGTGAACGGTGACAGTGACTTGCAGAAATTTCTGCGGATGCAAAGCCCATGGAGCTTCAGTAGTCATCGACCTATACTGAGCTTGATTCAAAGTTGTCGGAGTGTTGCGAAACATTCGAAGTCCCAGAGGGGCACTGGAGATCCGAAAGAGCAAGCCGCTGAAGACCAGGTTTGAAGTCCGGTAAAGCCCAACCTGAGAAATATAGTTGCCACAGCTACTCACTCTTGCTTCAGCAAGGCAGCTTTGCAAAGTATGTAGCACACAAAGACACAGCAGGATTAATCTCTGTTCCGGGTGTTGGTGTTCATGATTGAGATTGCCTAGCCCAATCATTTATAAGTTGCGCCAGGTCAAGTCACACGCGCTATTATTTGCATGGCCATTTGAATGTATTTATGCCTTTGGGAGGCCTGTTTGCTTACTTGCCATAAGCTCTCTCCAACGCACGAGACACAGTGATCTGCACGTGAAAACTCAATCCGATGTGATAGTGAAATTGCGGCTCAACCATCTGAAGTCTTGCCGCCCTTGACCACCTTCGAACCAATGATAGGCCAAAGACCTTGCCGCTCTTCGCATGCTTCACAATAGGAGCTCAGTGAAGGCCTACTGCAACATGGCAATGCCAACATTTTCCGGTTCAGTTGGCCTCAACTAGAGGAAGTCTTGGGCGTTCTTTTGTCATACGGGCCCATGCAGTGGGCTTGCGTGCTTCTCATCTCAGTGCGCGTTCGCAGCTTGCAGAAGACATCTTTGGCGCCAGTAGCGGCGCCAGTTAGGTGTCAACAACTATACTTACAGTAAGCCGTATCCCCAAACATGCATTGCAGGTGCCACCACAATTAACAGTGTGCCTCCATTTGTCAGATTGCTCCGGGACATACCTGGAAAATGGCCTCGACCGGCCTCGCAATGCGAAGTTGATGGCCTGGAAGATCTAAAAGTACCAGGGTGTAGTGAAGAAGCTGACAACCCTCTCAGAGCTTCATTCCTTATTATCCACATTTGTGCCTCACCCAAGATTGCAGTCGCTGCTGGTTTTACTCACCCGGTGGGGTGGCCTTGCTGCATCAAGTGAAACTTGCAACATCTGCGTTGTCGCGCAGTTTTCCTTCAAGATGGTGGGCGAGCACGACCAGGAAAGACTTTAAAAACCAAATTGTGCAAAAAACCAGGCCTCAAGAGAGCCAAAGGATGCGACTCTGCATCTGGCAGCCGACACAAAACGAAGAGATTGAAATCACTTTCAGCCAAGATACTTCGTTTTGAGTTCCCAGCAGGGGAGTGGGTACAGCCACCAAATCGCCAAATTCGTGGATTGACAGTTCGTTGCGCCATTGGTGCTCATCATTGCTGCCAACACAGACTTGTTTTCCACTGAATTAACAGTGAAAGCTGACAGAAGTTGGGCGAAGACATTGGTGCAACGAATCTATTGGTTGCAACGGATTCGGAGCAGAACATCTGATTGTACAGGTTCTGATGTTGACATACCATTATTAATGTATAGCCTGTGCAAGCCCTGCCATGCCCCGTGCAATAAGTATTGCCCCATTTGGTCAGCTTTCTCGAACTAGTTCAGCCCTGGAAGCAGCTCACGCAACTGTGTCAGGTGGCTCTCCAACCTCTCCAACACAAGTTGTATTTTATATATGCAACTGTGCAGCCTACATCAATTCATCATCTCAGGTTCGATTCTGTTGCTTGACGTCTCACTGGCCAATTCTCTCATATGCTGCCAGGACCAAGCGCAAGTTCAGTTGTCCCAAAGTAGCCAATGTTTGAAACAAACTACGAATCATGCACATTAAAATCCAGTTTTGTACGTTCGGCGCCTGTTAGTTATACTGTTCCCTCGCGTTTGGAGCATGATGCAGCATTTGTGCTCTGCAGTTTTGAAGGTTTCTGTTTGCTGCAGGGCTTTGCAGAAAGGTGTTTGTGCTCACGCCCATGTCAATCCAGACATGCAGTTGCTTTGCCTATCTTTCAAGTATGAGCACGATGGCAGTCTGAGCTGAAAAAATATGTTTGCGGCATGGAAGACAGGTGAAAGTACAATGATGGTCGGAAAGAAATCATCACCTGTGAGAAATGCGTATTAGCAACCAATTCCTTTCATCACAGCATGATGCTGGTTTGACCCGACATTCAACTGCTGTTGTGTTACGGACATTGCCATTTTGACTTTTTGACTGTCCATTCCGTGAGACATTCAACGCCACTAATGCAGTCCTCTGATCCTCGTTCTTCTTAGCATATCACTACCCCTCACAAACCCTGACCGAGTGCATTGGCCATGATATTGGATCGAAAGCTTTTTCAACACTGTTGGTTATAGCCCATGGTGAGGTGCAGCCATAGGCGTGGCAAGACGACACGGTGGTTAATGCATGGCACCGGGCTTGTTTAGAGTTTTTGCTTCCAGGCAGGCAATCATTTTGAGACTTTAAGTTTAAGTTTCAAGCATCCAGCAATGCCTGGAGCTGCCCAGAATCTGGCTGCATGAAATCTGACGTCCTTTCGCTTGGCCGTGCTGTTGCCGTTCTTACGAGGATTGCTGGCACACGTCGGCTCTGTTTTCAGTGGACAGGAGGGCGAAATCAATCACAGCACGATTTTGATTTCCTTTTAAAGTGCTTAGGGCATTCACACGTTGAACCTGCTGTAGAAGAGGTGAGCTCTCATTTCAATGGTCAATCCTATATCCTATGAGACAAAACCATGTATGACAAGTTCAGCAGCGATTTAGGTTTCTTGATAGTCATTTCTTGCATGTGGTGAGTATGCAGGAGAAAGGACAGTCCATGACCAGTTTATTGCCTTGAGTTCAAAGAGTTTCCTGTTTCTGTTGTGTTGTGGCAAAAGAAGGGGAGGGTTCTTGGAGTAGGAGCCTGAGGAGCAAAGGTGGCTGCCAAGCATCAGTGAAGACGGGTGCTGCAGACGTTTCCATTTGAGCTGAGTTGCCTAAGGCCTATGTGAAGCTGACAACTAGCAGCAGTAGCGCCCTGTTTTTTCCAAAACCCCGTTTTGGTCTGCGGGTCGATGCTTGGCTGCGGAAGAAGACTGGCCGCAGTTGCCTTTTGATAAAACTTCGAAGCGATAATCGGTCTCTGACTGGTCGGAATGCAAGTCTTGGTACCCATTGGTTTTCCGCCTGTGACCTGCCTTGATAAGGATCAATAGATTTTCCATGATATTCCTGGCATCCAGACCATTGTTTCCAGCCGCAACCAATCAGTGATTCTGTGTCAACTCCTCTCATCGATTTGCCACTGAGATTGAAAGGATTCGCGTCATCGCCGTTGCGTTTTTTTCATTTGGGGACTGCTTTCAACGCTCGGATACAGGCTTGTGAACACGTGAATTTCTCAAGACCAAACAGTGCTTGAATTTTCCAGGTTTGAACATCCCCAAGCCACTTTTGCTTGCGCAGAGCCTTTGTGTACGAGAGATTCTGCATCCCTGTTGCATCATGGTCTTGCCCAGCAGCTGCAAAGAAAAATGACACGACATGGTGCGAAATGCGAAATCCAGTCGTTGGCTGTCGGACCGAAAGCTTTTTCAACACTGTTGGTCATAGCTCATGGCGAGGTGCAGCCATAGGCGTGGCAAGACGACACGGTGATTAATGCATGGCACTGGGCTTGTTTAGAGTTTTTGCTTCCAAGCCGCCCATCATTTTGAGCTATTAAGTCTTTTAAGTTTCAAGCATCCAGCAATGCCTGGAGCTGCCCAGAATCTGGCTGCATGAAATCTGACGTCCTTTCGCTTGGCCGTGCCGTTGCCGTTCTTACGAGGATTGCTGGCACACGTCGGCTCTGTTTTCAGTGGACAGGAGGGCGAAATCAATCACAGCATGATTTTGAATTCCTGAAGCACGTAGGGCAACTTGCACTGCCAATCCGATATCTATCATATCTATCGATTTTGCTTTCGAAACTGAACTGCAGATGTTGCATGATGAGTCATTAACTGCGGCAATTTCCACTTCGGTAGGAGCAAGAGAGCAGGAGGATGTTGGGCTTAGACAGGTTTCAGTCAGACTTGTGAATTCCTTTCAGACTCGCTAGACTTGCCTTTCACAGTCCCTTTCACAGTCCCTTTCACACTTCGGAATCAAAAGGAATTTGCATTGTGGAGAGGGTTGGTTTTCGTAAAAAATAGATGGCTGAATGGCAGACCTCCAACAAGTACCAGCAACCCACATACATCACGGATCCTTTAACACTATGCGACCAGGATACTTGCTGCCAACCCAAGGCCGGGAGCTTCAAATGCAAGCAAGAATTTATGATCATAAGTAGCACCATGAATTTACCAGACCTGAGTTGATAGATATGGGAAAATCTTTACAAGCACATCGATTCTTCATGCCTGAGTGAAGGCCTGAATTCGAGCATGAAAAGATTGGTGCCAAGAAGCTGTCTACCATCCAGCTTTAGCTTGAGGAACCTATGTGTACAGAAGGATGTTTCCCACAGGCAGAAGCTCGACTGTCAGCCAGTTGTGCAAATCGAGCATCGTCGAAAGATGAACTTTTGAAATTGGCAAGAAAATGCCAAAACCAAAGAGTGCAGACTCAGTTGAGGACATGCAGACAGCTGTTGCAGTGAATGGTTGACTCACTGATTCTGCAGTTTAGTGCGGACCGAAGGCTGAATTTACAACATCTAGCATGAAAAGATTGGCACACAGAACTGTCTACTCTGCAGCTGTAGCTTGAGGGACGTACGTGCACAGAAGGATGTTTTCTACAGGCAGAAACTTTACCGTCAGCCAGCTGTACAAATCGAGATTCCCAGAAGATAAGCTTCTGAAATTGGCGATAACTTGCCCAAAGCAGAAGGACTGCATGGCGATTCCAACGTGGAGACCAAAGTTGATGAAGTCGATCATGAATCTCTTCAGGAGATGTGGTCATGGTATGACAAGAAAGGGACTGACCCGAGGCAAGGACAAGATCCGATTCAACTTGATAAACATCATCAACAACTCTGACCCGAGCTGGAAGGCCCTGCAAAGTCCACGTGGCCGTGTCAATGACATGGTAAGGCTCGGGGGCACGAACCAAATTGTGCCTAGTGTCAATAACATCAATGGGTTGGGATTGGGTATCGACCAAACAGTCCAAAGGGGCTTTAGCAGGCTTGCGGGTACAAGCATGCAGAAGGTGCAGACTCAGTTGAGGACATGCAGACAGCTGTTACAGCGTATATATATAGTTGACTCACTGATTCTGCAGTTTAGTGCGGACCGGAGGCTGAATTTACAAAATCTAGCATGAAAAGATTGGTACACAGAACTGTCTAATCTGCAGCCGTAGCTTGAGGGACCCTACGTGCACAGAAGGATGTTTTCCACAGGCAGAAGCTTCACTTCAAATTGGGCGGATATTTTGTGTGAAAGCCTGGTCACAAAGATCCCTGGCACCACAGCTATTCGCCCTCGAAGCCACGACCCATCAGCTAGCTGTACAAATGGAGATTTCTAGAAGATAAGCTTTTGAAATTGGCAAAAAATGATCAAAACCAAAGAGTGCAGACTCAGTTCAGGCCAAATGTCTTGCGGGAAATGCCAGGAGAGCCATTCAGCAACTGTTTGCCGCAGTATTTTGTACAGAATTTGGACAACGATGTGCATGTCTGCATGTCTTAATGCTTAATTATAGCCTGAACGTTTTCAGGGCGGTGCCTGTAGAGAGGAACATTTGATGCCAAAAGCACGTTGCCAGGGTTTGGCGCAGGCCTGGCAGGTTCCAAGATGTGATGGTCTAAGGCCTCACACGGTGTGACAGCCGTGACAGCTTAAACACCAACCATGGGTGTGGCAGGTTGGGCGTCGGCTTTGGTCCCCACCGTCACCCACCAAAGGCTCAAACCTTTCACCCTGTGTGTACAATGAGGGCCGCCAAGCCTTCCACTGTAGAGACCTGTGATTGCTCTGTTCTTACCATCCCTCAGACCTGAAGCGGCCACAATTGAGACGCTGCGGCAGCATTGAGAGATAGTGACAGATGGAAGGAGCAGAGCCAGCTCACCAGAGGTCCCTGTTTTCCGAGTCTGACACGTTCTTTGCTGTTTGAGGCCCATCCTGAAGAACCGATGCACGGCATACAGTTTTGGCATGTCATCTCAACCAGCTCCCTGGCTTGCACCGTTGTGGCTGCAAGATCTCTGACCAGTTAGTTGGATCGCCTTCCACTCGAATCGTGATATGATCTCCAGCTATTCTCATGGCATGAGACAGATGAACAACTTTACGCCAACCTGGATGGAGCCTAAAGTGATCCGCAGTATCTCGGATGCTGCTTTAAGCATGGCAAGCTCTGCATTGTCCAGCATCCGCGGGAGTTGCCACACCAAAAGGAAGCATGCTCAAGTGACTCATATTTTGATATCCCGATACGATTGCTGCCTCGTTACATCACGGTAAGGAAGGAAATCCGCGCAGTTTCCGACGAAAACTCCGCTCTCCAGAGAGCTAAGCCAGCTAAGCCAGCTAAGCCCGCTAAGCCGAAGTCTTCTTTCTACCACTTGGAGAGGAAGGACTGAAGCTCGGCGAATGGGATATCTTTCCTCGGCTCTCCCATTTATCCTCAGCCAAAGGCGCGAGGAAGTGTAAAAAGAAGACAAGATCTTTGCCATGCAGCAAGAAGTCAGTGTGTGCGCAAGCCATCCATTGCAAAGCGGGCCTTTCTGCTCCTGCGATTGAAGAGTTCAACACGTAGCACGAGCAGCAATGCCGACAGTATGATGAGGACTGCGGCGGAGTGGGTGTGCGCTGTGTCTCTTCTCCTGCTTGAAGATTACTGCAACAAACATATCTTTCAGAAAACATAAATGTCAACTGATTAGGTGATCTGCGGATGGGTGGCCAGGCTCTTCAGAATTCGCAGCCGCTGATGCTTCATGCCTCGCTGAGTTGTCAATCTGCCATGGTTTTGACCATGGTGGTTGCTGTTTCCGCATGGGGAATGATCCTCCATCCATCAATAATTGTTTTTAGTTTTTCATATGAGGTTCCGTCCAAATTTGCGCTGATTAAGTTAAGTATGTACTGGGGTGTGCATCGGATGTTGGCTGTTGCATGAAACCTGCTAAAACGATAAAAAAACGATACGTTTATTGATTGCGCATGCTTGCGCGTTTTGTGGTGTGGGCATAGTGTTTGCTTAGGCAGTGTTGTTTTTTCACGGTTGGATCCACTTCACCATGAATGGGTGTGCCCATGCGGTGGGTTGACTTTACATGACTTTACATTACTTTAGCCACCTAGGTGGGCTGCTTAAACTCGGCACCGAGTAGCTCGGATTACGGAAACCATGCATCTATTTGCAGGCAGTGTAGGCATGCTGGAGTGGCCAACTCCATGCAGTATCTCGTTTTGCTGCCTGGCCTCGCTTTGGCAGACCGCGGCGAGCTATTCGCTCAGTCCCGCACGCATGTGACTTGCAAAGATGGAGCCCGCGCAGAACGATACCCAAAACGATGCCCAAACGATGCTAAAATCTTTGCAAAAGCGGCTCGGGTGATCGACTGGTCATAAAACAGGCGGAACAGGTGGTGGATGTTGGTAGTATGTTGTAGTGATGGACTAAAGTTTTGTGCCCCGGCGGGATAAATTTTGAGATTAGCAGCTGTGAGTGGCCAAAGCATGCCAAGACCCATTTTCTTTCCAAAAGACCTGCTGGTTGAAGAGACTGCCCAAGCAGCGCGAAGGAGGACCAGACAGGCACGGGCAAAAGCACAAGTGCGCTCCAACGCGCGCAAACAAAGATCGCCAGGGATGAGGATCCAAGTGGACGCGCTTCAAAACTATGCTTAAACAGAGGTAAATAAAGCCTGTAAAACGATAGGGGGCTCACTAACTTGATGACGGACTTGACGCAAACAATAAATTTCGACCGTGGCTCATACGCAAGCAGAATTGTTGGGGAAACCAAAAATTTGCTTGTCAGCTTGGTGTGAATTCGAATCGTGCCATATCATGCCATGACATTTACTGATGGTGAATGGCTTTGATTTCCAAGCATCTTTGGTGTGAATCCGAGGCGTACCAGGGCTAAACCACCTAGTATTTCTGGAAGTGGCGTTCCAGGATGACGTCATGGGTTTGGCTGCTTTCGTCAGGAACAAAAGGGGATATTCACCAGCAAACCTATAGATTTATCAAACACGCAGACTGGGCTAGAACCAACAGCGAGTTTAACAAATTTCCAGTAAAAGTTAGAATGTAGCAGTGTGTCACTAGAGCACCAGCTGGCCAGGTGCGGGACAGCTTGCGATTGTTGCTGTCAATCTTCAGAAGGCTGGTATATCTTCACGACTTCTATTTGGATGGCATTTGCCAACCAAACACATTGCAAATCATTTCTTCCCGGTTCAAACTGGTTCAAGCCAGGACTCACAACCAAACAAGTTCCCGATGTTGGCATTCAAGAATTGAGCGGGAACTTGAGTCCATTCTTAGTTTGATCGCTTCAACTTTTTCAGGGCAGCGTGCCTTGAGTTTTGACAGACAACGCGTGCAAATAGTCGTTCTCAACGTGAGTTGAATCTTTGCATTTTGCATCTCCACTTTTGACATCAGAGTCTCAGGGTAGGTTATATATTGTTTTGAGACGGGTGAAATTGCTCATCACCAAATCATCAGGCATGCATCTACACGCAGCACCGCATTGTGATGTGAAACGGCATTCGGTAAGATGGAATAGTTCCTTATGTTCCTTCTAAAGCACACAATGTATTCTTGTGTCTCTTTTAAAAACTCAAGTCTTAATCATCATATGTTTTTTCTTTGCACAGAGTGGAATAAGTCTTGGTTCTTGTTTCGACCAGCTGCAAGTCAGAGTGTTGATGGGCTCTCCGCAGATCTGGGCTGCAGGAAAGGATCATGCCGTTGCAAGCCTTCATTGAGTCCGCCAGGCCAGGCAGTGGGAGTGGAATTTGTGTGGCTGAAATATGCTGAAATGTTACCCACAGATTTACAGGTAAACCCTTGTTTCTTTGATGGGGAAATAGGCCAAGCAGCTCAAAATGATTCAAGATGCAATGTTTTCCAGGGTATCTGCAGTTGAGGTAAGCCATAACTTTAGGATACTTTAGGAACCCGAATCCAGATGATTTGCACCAGGATATGATGCTCAATTTCTTTGGTTCATCTCGGACTTGCACATGAAACAGGGCGAAGTGGACAATGACCCTTGAAAGATGTTACAATGACATCCTGAAAATGTTTTTTTCCTTTGAGAAACTCTCCTATAGGTTTCCTATTTTTGAAACTTCCGCCACCGCCTTGTGCGGTACTACTGGTATAGATTTGTGATGATTTATAATGATTTTTTATACTTATGTAAGATTCATGTGCAATTTCACCAATACAAGTAGAAAGTTTAGCAACAAAGACTTTGACTCTTTAAAAACAAAATTGAGGAACCAGATTTAATGAACCTGGGTTAGTTTTAATGGAACATGTAATGTACAGGATACCACCCTCTTGTTTTTTGGGGGGTTTCCCGGTAGATTTTCCTTTTAAACAGTCCAATACATCGAAACGGAGGGCTGAACAGCCATGAGCAACCAGCTGGTTGGTGTCGACAGAAGGGTACATCCGTATGTGTTGTTATTTTTGGCCAGGATCGACTGCTACAACAACTTGGTGCTCTTAAAGAACCTATGGGACCGCACTGCTTGGGGCAAGGGAAATGTCTCTGAAATCCCTTTGAGGTATGAAACAAATCAAAAGATACGCTTGTACCTGAGATTGGACGTCCATGCACTGAATCCTTGCAGTTCCACATTTTTTTTTGGCAATTTCATGGCCTTTATTCAAAAGAAAATCAATGTTCGGGGTGAATTTGCCAAAGATGATTCCTTGAATACACTAAAGAATATGGCCACAATGCCATGGTGATCCTTGAAGATCATGTAATGGTGCTACATTCTGTGTAAATCACAATTTTGGATGGGAAACCCAACCTCCATTTTCATCCATTCAGCGATTTGAGCAGGACCTGATTTGAGCAGGACCTGATTATCATGGTGCGGGAAACCTTCTCTGCTTGGTGCTCAATGGATCTGTGGATCTAGGTCAAATGGCCATTCGGATGGGTTAGATATGACCATTGGTGGTGAATCATATTATTCTTGGATGGGCAACATTCTCGTTGGCTTCGGATCAGATTCGGACCTCTCATTTTGGATACTACTTTGAACATTTTGAACCCTTGCTTTGAATGTCCTTGTTGATCTTTGAAGATCATGTCGGAAAGCAGTTTCAAACAGGGGTTTGAGGAGAAAGCAATCATTGCACGTGGCTGCTTCCCCGTCAGCCCCCGTCACCCCTCATGGGCTGCCACCGAAGGCACAATGTGCTGTGGGAAAAGATTGGTGGCCACGGTTCGTGAATTGAGCAACCAGGTCGCGGCCACAGAATTTTGAGGTCTTGTTGCATCAGTTCTAGAATTAACAACTCAAAATGGTCTCCATGGTTCATTCTAAACAATCAACCTGTTCAGAAGCAAGTCAAACATCAGTATTTTTTTTGCTGATTGATGCTCATTTCATGACATAGTGATTGACGGTTTTCAGTTTAGTTTCCTCCTTCAGTTGCTTCTTTGGAGCCGTTGAATCATCAATCGCAGGTAGTTCGTGCCCAGAAAGACCAGCAGAAAAGGAGCGCCTAAGGAGCGCTGAAAAGACCGCACATCGTAAATGTTGTGGGGAGGTGGGTCCAACCTTACCCCTATGTAACTACTATCCATTGTTTTTATCAGAAAAATGCAAACTAAAGAGTACTAAAGGTAGGATGTGAGGATTGTTACTCCCATGCTCTTGCTCCTATGCAACTACTATTTCTTCTTGCAGGATTTTTTTAGTGGCCATACCAGAATGTGGAAGCAATCAGGTCACCATGCCCTGCCAATCTCGATGCAGGACATCGACTGGACACCATCTATTTGAGCATCCATGGTGTTTCTTAAGTCATGGGGGATTCCCAGTCATCACCATGGTTGATTCAATACTAAAATGGTTATCCATGACTTGGATGATTTGGGGGTAGCCCCATTTCAGGAAACTGCCATATATGTTAAATTTCCATGGTGCAGCTGGAGATGACGAACGCTGAGAATGGACACGCTTCAGGATCGGAACCCAGGAACTTAAATTCCGAAGGTCCCTCAGGGTAGAGATGGTTCATATCAAACTCACGTTGAGAATCAGGACTTGAATTAAGTTGGATAGAAACTACCGAGCTGCCGCGATTTTCCCGAAGAAACGCTTTCCTGACCCTTTCGGATCAAAACTGGAAGACAGTGGAGGTGCTTCGGAAGGTATACTGAATATAAATAAAGATAGATAACCCAAGGTTTTCCTTTGCTGTGTAATTCATAAATAAACTGGTGGTCCAAAGGGCTGTAAATTCATTGCCGAAAAGAACCGCTTCCCTGTCATATTTGCAACGCAGACACATATAAACGACGACCTTTTGGGAACCCAGTCCCCATCATTTTTCGCGTTGTTTTTGGGTAGCAGTGCCCCGGCCATGGCGACAGGTTCTGCAACGCAACCTGGTTTGAGCCTCGTTACCGATGTGCCAGGACAGCAACTTCAAATATTTTGTCAAAAAATCAAATGACTTTACTTCGAGTGATCCCCACCCTGACACGCTATTCTGACATAGTTTCTGACATATCATCTGGAAGCATGTAGGAAGCATATAGGAAGCATATAGGAAGCATATATATAGGAAGCATATATGGCATCATATACTATGCATACATACTATGCGTACTATACTATACTACACTGAACTAATACTATACTATTACTATTACTATTACTAATACTATTACTCTTACTATTACTATCACTATACTCTATACTCTATACTCTATACACTCTATACTCTATACTATACCATGTTATACTATATTTTACTTTACATACACATACATGCATACATACATACATACATGCATACATACCTACCTACCTACATACCTACCTACATACATACATGCATCAATACATGCATGCATACATGCATGCATGCATACATGCACGCATACATGCATACATGCATACATGCATACGTGCATACATACAGACATACAGACATACAGACATACACGCATACATCCA